CCTGAAAATTATCGACCTATTGCACTAACATGTGCATTATGCAGGGTCATGGAAATGACACTTAATAAATACATAGTTCAATTTTTGCTTGATAACAATTTATTTAGCAACCATCAATATGGATTTATAAAAAAAAGATCTACCACAACACAACTAATCACCACATTAGAAGACTGGTATGATGCAATAATGGGGAAAAAGAATATTGACTGTATATATATTGACTTCAAAAAAGCATTTGATTCAGTACCACATGATCTCTTGATCAATAAAATATATAAAATAGGCATAAGAGGAAAAATTTTAAGATGGATTTCATCTTTTCTTTCTGATAGAACTTTCAGAGTCAAAATAAACAATACATTTTCCAACCCTAGAAATATTAAATCAGGTGTTCCACAAGGATCTGTCTTAGGCCCACTATTATTTTTGATTTATATCAATGATTTACCTGATGTAATTCCGAATGGTATAAAAATTAAACTTTTTGCCGATGATGTTAAAGTATATGTTATACATAAAACAAAAAATGAAAGAAGAATACTTACTAATGCTATCAAAAATATTGAACAATGGGCAACTGAATGGAAATTAAATATAGCTATTAATAAAACATATATTATTTATCTTGGTAAAACTAACCCGAAAGATCAATATAAAATTTTTGATACATCTATAAATGAAGTAGATTCTATACGAGATCTAGGCATCATAATCGATAATAAACTTAAATTTCAAGAACATGTACAAAAAATTATTCGGGCTGCTTATATAAAAATGAATTTTGTGTTTAAGATAATTAAATCGAAATCTATAAAAACATGGCTTACAATCTATAAAAGTTATATAAGACCATTGCTGGAATACTCTCCTGAAACATGGAATCCACAACTAAAATCTGAAATTAACAAACTCGAAAAATGTCAAAAATTCTTTACAAAAATCCTACTTAGAAAATGTTCATTACCCTATATACCTTATTTTCAAAGATTGGAATTTCTTAATCTTCCTACTCTTGAAAACCGTCGTAAGACATATGATTTAGTATTAGCTCATAAAATCCTACATGGATACACTCATATTAAATCAGAAAATCTTTTTAAAATATCAAATAGAAAAAACTGTTATTTGTTATCTAAAAATCAAACTTCAAAATCATCTAACTCATTTGTAAATAGGGTAACTAAAATGTGGAACGTTTTAACTGATGAACTTAGAACCACAAAAGTAACACTTAGTTTCAAAAATAAAATAAAAGCAATACTTATTCAATAGGTACAATCCAATCTATTTTTATTTTTATTGCTATTATCAAGAAAAAATAAAATCAATTCTCGTAAATTCCCTTAAATTACAAACTATTAAAAAAAGGCCTATTGCTCTAAATATTGAATATTTTTTCTCTATTTTTCTTTCACCCTCAAGGAAATATTCAAATTGATAAATGAATTTATTATTTAACATTATATCTAAAAAAATTCAAAACTTCATTTTTGCCAATCCTCCCTTATATTTTTTTTAAAATTAAATTTCGAATATAAAAATTGGCTTGTTTTTAGAGAATAACTGCTTTAAATTAAAATATTATAGATCATCAAGGTTAATCGCAGGTGATAGAGAAAACATTTTTAAATCCTAAAAAAAAATTCAAATCCTAAAACCTAAAAATATCTCCAAATCCTAAAAATATCTAAAAAAATATTTAAATTGTAAATCTAATATATAATTTGGCATTCTATCTAAAAAATTTATTTAAATGACAATTCATACTAGTATTTTTTTTCTCTTCTCTCTATCATTTGTGCTATTTCTCTTTTGATGATTCATAAAATCAGAACTGTTTTTTTCCCTTTTTTCTTAATTTTTATTGAAATTTATCATTTTTTATTTTTATTTTTTAAACAATATTTTTTCTTTAAGGAAATTTTTAAAAAAAGGCATTTAATTGGGTAATATTCTTTTGACATGTCTAAGCGCAATTCTTCAGAATTTTCTCCTTTAAATTTTGCAGCAAATATGACAAACAACGAAAAACGCAGCAAAATTGTTGAAGAAATTAATTCTTTAAATTTTGACAAAATTGCAACAGAAATTAAATTAATGGACCTTCTTTTTAGATTTTTGATTTATGTTTTCTATTAAAGCACCTTAAATAAGTAAAATAGTCGGTACGGAGTATATTTATTTAAACAAATAAATCAATTAAATATAAATTTATATGTGTTTTTTTTCCCTTAATTATTATTGACTTATTGTTTTTTTGCTGTTTTTTTTTATATATTTATTGCTTCTTTTAAGTGCCACACTACGACATTGTTGTCGGAGTAAGTGGCACGCCCTTTCGATGACTTTTTTTTTATGTTGATAAATAAATAAACATAGTTTCGGGCAATTAATTATTTTTTCGACCTCTCGTCGAACGTGGGTAATTAATTGAGGGAGGGAATTTATTCGTTTTTGGATATTAAAAATGGACTTACTACATACTAATTTTTATAATCTGGTTAGCCTTTGGGGGAGGGGGCGATTAAAGTATCACCAGGCTTTTTAGATATCACAAATTTTTCGATGCTTTTAAAATTTTTTGATAGATGAGATGATTTTCAATTGAGATTTGAATGCCGAGTCAGAATAACAACAATAAAAGCAGTCACAGATTTAGCCGAAATAGAAGGCCCAAAAATCTTTAAACTTTCAATCGACCGAAACCAGAGCGTAAGGCAAAAACACTATCCTACTCATACAATTAAACGCGAGTTGAGTATAATAATTGTTGAAAAATTTTTATTTAAAAATCTTTTAAAAATCTTTTAAAATAAACAAAAATTAAAAAAAATTAATGTAAATTTCAAAAATTAAAAAATCTCTCATTTATTCAATAAAAGGAAGTTGACTAGTACTTCGCCTAATTGCCTCGAATTCACTGGGGCTTATTAAAATTCCATCTTTTTTCTCTTTTAATAATTCTTTTTCATCTCTACTAGCAGTTCTTCGATGATAAATTTCCCCCGGTTTTAAAAAATCTCTCGGCAAACTAGAAGATTTTTGGGGGTAAAATGGAGGTAAAGATAGTCGTCTTTCTTGGTATAAAGCATCCTCTTTATCTAACATTTTTGAAATTCTTTGGAATTCTTTTTCATAAAATTCTAAAAATATTTAAATATTTTTTGGAAGAAAAATATTTTTTTAAACCTTTTTCTTTATCATTTTCGTAGTCTGGCGGCGCGCAAGAAATGTCATGGACATGAGTGAATTTTCTAGTAATAATTTAAAAAATATTTTTAAAATATTTGAGGGTATTTATTTAAAATTTTAAGCCTCTTGTTGTGTAGTGGTGACACTACTATAAAAGCCACACTAAGCGTCAGTCTAATTGGATCATACTAGCCCGGCTAGTCCCTGATCTCCTTCGTCTGTTCCAACCTCAATCCCTTCGTCTACACATTGTTATTTCTCTTTGGATAAATTGTTAATCTATTGCACGTCTACATTCGTATACCCTCGGACATAACAATTGGCGCGGATCGACTACGGTTGCAGCTCGTCTACAGAACATCTACAGGAGCGACAACAGCTACATTGGAGGCGAGTATTGAAAGAGAGTAGGCGAAGTGGAAAAAAATTGCTTGAAGCAATTATTGAAAAGGATTATTGAATTGTTGAGTGGACAGACGTCGTAAATTGTCGGCATTGAAAATTAAATTGTTAGTGCGTGCTGGACCTATGAATTGAAAGGTGTAAATTCCTTAATTGAAAGCTAAAATGCTTAAATTATTAGTCCTGAAGCACAACAAAAAACAAAAAAGCCGACAAAAATTTCCGAATTGAAAAGAAAAATATTGCTACATTGAGGAATTGTAAAAAATTGTAAAAAATACTATTGTAGGAGATTATTGAAGAAAATTATTGAAGAAAAATAGTATTATAATTGTAGCATTCGGAAATTGTAAATCAAGAATAAAAAAATTGTTGGCGTTCACATGCATGTAAGTCCAAAAAATTCCAAGAAAAGAAAAATGTATTATTCGAAATTGCAAATTGTAGAAATGGAAAATTATTTGGCGTTCAGAGAATGTAAGACCAAAAATTGCAATTTCAAAAAATTCCAAAGAAAAAGAAGATTATTCGAAATTGCAAATTGAAGAAATGAAAAAATATTTGGCGTTCAGAGAATTTAAGTCCAAAAAATTGCAATTTCAAAATTTCGAGGAAAAGAATTCAATTTTCACGAACACTATGGAAAGTGTACGTGACATACTTCTGGACAAACAGCGACCAACAAGAGGAACATCAAACGAGGACGTGCGATTGCCGTGTTGGACATCTTGTGTGCGCTGATGAAGTACAAATACAACCAGAAGAGAAGAAAAACAAAAACTGTGGAAAGATGACAAAATGTGATATTCTTTAAATTCTTGTAATGTAATTTAAATTTTGTTTTTTGCCCCCAAAATTGTCATCCCACATGTTTTTATTGTTTTGTGAGTATTAGTAGAGACTGAAACGCAGTGGCTAAAATTGTTGATTGTATTGATAGCTTTAAGCTATATTGAAAATTATTAAAACCTCTAGTCAAAAGAGGAGGCATTGAAAATTGTAGAATTGAAAATTGTAATGCCTAAAACAATCAACCTAAACCTTTCAAAGGGGAAGGTGTTGTGTAGTGGTGACACTACTATAAAAGCCACACTAAGCGTCAGTCTAATTGGATCATACTAGCCCGGCTAGTCCCTGATCTCCTTCGTCTGTTCCAACCTCAATCCCTTCGTCTACACATTGTTATTTCTCTTTGGATAAATTGTTAATCTATTGCACGTCTACATTCGTATACCCTCGGACATAACACCTCTCCTTTATGAGAGACACCATTTCTATTACTTTAATGGATTAACTCTTTTAACTTTGGGTCAGTCAACTAAGATTCAGTTCTATTCTAAACCTCTGCTGGATTAGCTAAAAATCATCTAGAAGCTTTAGAAAGCTCCAATAACTCAATTCCAAAATAGGCACTCGAATATCGATAAAACTATTAAAGGGATTCGTGAAAAAGATTCATCATTTCGAGAGAGATTAGTGGTTGTCACGGGAGGCTGATCTAAGTTATTCCAAATATCACAAGGTTCCAATATTATGGGTAGGGTTGGAGGCCCGATCCGGCCTGGTCCGAAAGATCGAGTCGGGCATCGACGGTCGGGCCGACTCGATAAAAATGAGGCCCGAAAGAAATGACTCGAACGTCGGCCCAACTCGAAAACCCCAACCCTAATTGTGGGAGTTCAAAAAGATTTCCTTATTCCCTATACCTTTCTAAATCATTGTCCTCAAATTCTTTTTGTTGTTCTAATTGTTCACCAACTCCGTTCTCCTTTTTACTTTCTTCTTTATCTTCTTCCAATTTTTCATTTTCAGAATCTGTTAACTTTAACCCTTTAGAATGATAAATAACAAAAAGATCGGCAATAAAAGAGAGAAGACGAAGAGCACCATAAAGTGAATGAAGCCTTTTTTGAAAAGGACTTTTGTTAAAATTTATTTGCAAAATTCCCTACCAAACTCGAAGTTTGTCTGTTGCATATAAAGCACATGCCCCTTTGTTATCACACTTTTGTGTCCAAAATAGACAAAAATTGTCAATTATTGCACCCCAAATGATTGGGGAAGGTAAAGTTGCTTTTTAAAAGAGGGAAGAAATTAGAGAGAAAAGAGAGAGAAAACCTCTTTTTAAGAGACATCTCTTGCTTTGTTATAAGGCTTTAATGGTCCCATTTTATCCCTTAAGAGTTTTCCTACAATAGGATTTCTTATACAGTCTACCTCATTTTTGGATACCCCCAAAATTAGGTACCGAGTATTTTAAGGCTCGTTTTCAAAATTTAGTTGACCATCGAATGGGGACAGCTTCTTTTTAATTCTAATAGCGAGTTTCGACTGTTAAGAAGAAAATATTTTTGTCTCTTATAAAGAGGTTTTTCAAAATAGAAAGAAACACTACCAAGTAAACTAACAAGAAAACCATTAAAACCCAAAGAAATGCTTCTATGTTTGGGAGGAACAGAACTGAAAAATAATCTACCTAAATAAATCCCTAAACATTTTTTACCGTAACATAATTAAAACGCCTGGAACAACGCCCATTCCACCAACAATCTTTAAGTTTAATTTTAGGGTTTTCAAAAAGATTTACTCGAGAAAATACATACCCCGCCGATTGCCATATTTCCAAAGTACCAATATCTAATTAAAAGAAAATAGGTATTTAGTTGGAAATATTCTCGAATAAGATTCAGAAAAAGGATTCGAATTAATCATATTCTAATATTCCTATATCCTGTACAAAACATGGGGAAAAATAGGGTTGCCAAAATGGATCGACTCGGACCGAAAGATCGAGTCGGGCCTAGATGTTTGGCCCGAAAAAGACTCGTACCGGCCCGACTCGATAAAAACAAGCCCGAAAAAATGCCTCGACCGTCGGCCCGACTCGAAAACGGCAACCCTAGGGAAAAGAGTTATTTTGTCTGGAGTTGAATTTTAATTTATTGCCCCATCCTTGAGGAGGGAGGGCTATTTTCAATAAAAAATATTTTTTTTATAAAATAAATCTAGAAAATCCCTTACAATTTACTCATGCAATCCCCCTCATTACAAAAATCTCTAGAAACTTTTCCTCCATTTGCACATTTACAAGAATCAAAAATTGGCGTTTTTTGGTTATTCAAAATTGAAGTAATATTTGTTATATGGCAACCAGCATGACAAGGAGAAAAGAAAACATTTAAACCGGAACGGTCACAAACTGGATATAAAGGGGAACCTTCACAATAACAACCTTTAAGGCAATTTAAATTTGTTGGATTTAAATGAGATCGGCTTTGGACGCTGAAAAATTTAAAAAGAATTTAATTATGTAGAGGAAAATTCACCTAAAAGTATCAACAATCTCTAGTTTTTTATAGGGAAGTCATATTTAAAGAAAAATGATCTCCCTATTAAACATGGAGCCTAGGTTCGGCAGAGGTTTGGGCAGATCATGATTCCTATCGACCCCCCATTCCGACTTTAATTGAGTTTCCTGTACCTAGAGCCGAGCACCGGACATTTTTTAGCGTCCAGGTTTTTCCTGGCTCAGAATTCAACTAGATTAAAAAAGGCACAAGTCCAATTTTTTGAGAATCTCTATCTACACTTCCCCATTTTTGTGAATTAATTAGTTATAAATTTTAAACATTTACATAGATTCCCCCAATGCTGTCATTGTAGATTTACACCCAACAGTCGAATTTAAAATAGAAAAACAAGCAGATAATGCACCCGTTATTGCTACCTAGTAAAAATTAAACAAGTGGTTTGTTAAAAAACGAACTAATAAAGCAGCCCGTCGGCCTTGTAAACGTAATTTTCTCATTAATAAACTCCCACATAAAACACCAACAGCAAAAGCGACAATACCAACAACACCTATGGAAATATTTCAAGGAATTTTTGAATAACTTTTGGAGATTGTAAAACTCAAAAGGATGGGGTCCTCAACACACCCACACTAAATAAAATGTAGGTGAACATCTTAAGTATTTTCGGAGAGGACACTCTTTTTGGAGAGATCATAAACCTTAAAAATTTACATAGATTCGCCCAATACTGTCATATTAGAAAGTCTAGCTTTGATATAGGTAAACTTAATGTAAACCCCTCTCGAAATTGAATCTTCTAACCAATCCCATCGATTATCAAGATTCGACTGAGTCTATTTTCGAGTTGATATGTACATTAATTAGAGATTTTACGAGTAGTCAAGTGTGTTTCGGAATTCGTCCATGTTTTTTGAACCTCGGATTGCGGAAAGGGATTTTTAAAAGAAAACGGTGATAGGACAAGGATTGTGTGAAAATTAAAAAAAGTTTAATCTCCGTAGACCTAAACACAACTTTGCATTGAAGCAAGAATATTTTAATAAAAAATAATTAAAATACCCATTAATCTATTAACTATATATTGAGGTATTCCAAATTGTAATTCCAAATATTTTGGGAGAAAAATATGAAAACCCTGAAAATAAACGAATTTAAGTTAAAAAAATATTTTTCTCCACTTTAAAAGCAAGAACATCAATAATTCTTCCAATCATCGCCCACCGGTAAATTGGACGTTTAAACACTGTGAGTATATTATTTTGAAAATCAGAAGATAAAGCATTGAAACTTTTTGGTATCTTTTTTAAAAAATAATTATAATTTTTATGATTTATTTTAAAAATTGGCGTTCGTACCGTTATATTGGGGGTTTTTTATATTTTTTTGATTAGTCTTAGATTCCTTAATTTGAGACCCGAGCTTGATTAGTTCGTGTTCCGAGTTGGACTATTTGTTAACTAGTACTATTTGTCTCTGGATGGTCATAGGCAAGTTTTTGAAAATTTTCTAAAAAACAGGCATGAATAAATTAATGGACCATGTCTATTTTTAAGGTTTGCCACACCGGATTAACCCAGAAAAATTCAACTCGAGCCGGTCCAGCACTAGTAAAATCCAAGTGTATAAATTCGTTGGAGTAAACTAAAGACAAATTTTTTTATTTAAACTTTACATTTCCATTTTCTGATTTTTCCAAATGTCTATCCACCAAAGCCAATCTTCTAGGAACTTTTTCTTCTCCTTCAACTAATTTTTCTTGGTTATTTTCTGTTGATTTTGGATTTCGAAAACAAAAAAGGAGAACAGAAGGGAAAAATAAAACACCCCCAATTAACATAAAACCTTGCCACCAACGACCTAAAATATAAATATTTTTTTGACGAGTCATTAATTCCATCCTTAATTAGATCGTTTATGAAGTTAAAATTCTTTCAGGTAATGCCAGGAGACTTTACAAATACCCAACGTCACCCACACATATCCTCCTCCCCAAAACTCTAATTTTTGTAGAGTTGCGCCCTGACAACGTACCCCGACCATATTTTGCCCCCCCCCCTCCGACCCGAACCCCGCCCCGAAACAATTCGAAAACCCCGTACCCCGACACAAGCGCCCCGCGCGTTTTAGGTCAAAAGATCTTAGTTTTGTTCAAGAATTTTCTTAATCTTTTAATTTCTAATAATTATTTCAACAATTTAAAACAAATATCCTCACCAATCCACATTGGGTCCCTTGGAGTAATTCCATGAGGTGCTAAATAAATAAATATAATAAACATTTTTCTTTTCAAAAAACCTTCTCCATCATAATATAATTTATTAAAAACAGAGCCCATCCAAAATCCCAACATTGGGCCCATTATACGAATACAAAACATTCCCGCTTTAAATTAAATTTTTATTTTTTAAAATTAATTTTTAACCAAAATATAAAGGTAAATTTGTTTTTTTAACATTATCGTCAATTAAAGGCTAAAAATAGGGAAAAATATTTTTTTAATTAAATTAAGAATTTATTAATTTACCAATCCCAAAGAGAAAGGCATAGTCCTTCCAATACCCAAAATTAAAAGTCCAAAGAAGATAGTTGCTGTAGGTCCCATGTTTGAGACATTCTTGTTACAACGAATTTTTTCTATCTTTAAATTAATTTAGGAAAAAGTTTTTTTATTTAAATATTTTGAATAATTACTAGTTTTATTTTATACGAATTTGGTAGGTATATGTATATTATTGGTTTTTAATTTAAAAAGTGTATTTACAGAGAGGTCTAAAAATTAGATTCCGTATGTTTATGAAAGTCGCTAAAGATAATTCCATAATGATATAAACAAAATTAAAAATTGGAAGTACCGTAAATGCTGAAATAATTACCCCCTAGTTATTTTACTCAAACTTTAAAAATATTTAAAGAAATACTATCAAATTTAATTATTGGGACATTTTAGGACTCAATATCAAAAAATAAATCATTTTCGCCTCAATTGGATTGAGATATACTCTAAATCCAGCACATTTTCTCTAATAATTACCCCCTTCCAGCGAGATATTGAAATAAACTCAGAGTGATTATTTCAGCATTTGCAGTATCTCTCTATGCAAGTAAACATTACAGCTTTAAAAATTTTCAAATAATTTTTAAAATTTCTCAATCCTTCCCTTAATTGCTCCTTTTAATTCTATCAAAAGGAGTAATTGAGGGAAGGATTGAGAGATTCCTTCCAATCAACATTTCTTACATAATTTTCAATATTTTTTACATAATTTTCAATATTCTATTAAAAACCCCCAACAAAATACCTAAAATACTAAAAATCCCTTCTTACCATTCCCCTCAAAGCATTCAAAGTTTTATCACAAAAAGCATAAGAAGTGGTACTTAGAGAACGTAAATTGTCTACATCCTTTTTATTTGCTGTATTGTGTTTTCTCAAAAATCTCTTTAAAAATTTAATTTTTTTTAATTTTTAAATTAAAAATTAAATTAAAATAATTTAAAGAAAAACTTACATACATAAAAAGCTAAGCAAGTCTCATTTCCATTTTCAACTAAATTCCAATCTTTTTCCATGCATTGGTCAAATTCTGATAGCCAAGAAGTTGATGCTTCTTGTGGGTAATTATTTAACTAAAAAATTGAAAATGAAGCTAAAATTAAGAAAAATTTGGGGAAATAAAAAGATAGAGTTGTACCCCGACCCTAACCCATTCCCAAACGATTATTTTAGATTTATCCTCCACCCGAATTCCACCCAGAAGCAATTGAAAAAATCCGTACCCCGACGAATTTTTTATTTTTCAGGATACAACCCTAGCATACTGTAAAATTTCGGAATTTTCTGATTAATATTTCTGAAGTTATGGCCAAAAAAGCAAAAAAATTAGACACTTTTTTATTAAAAAAAGATGGTATTTTATATAGCCCGAACTTTTTAAATGGTAGGAACTGATATCCGGGTTTTTTCTGTTAAACAGACCGGGCCGGATTTCCTGAGCCCCGGAAAACTCTTTTCTTCCAGAATACCCAAGTACCGCTTTATTAAAAATAAATTCTAGAAACTTTGCAGAATAAAACTTGAAGTTTTATTAAAAATAAATTCCGGAAAATTTTGCAGAATTTTTAAATAAAGTTTGAAGGATGTCATTATTTCTAAACACCAAACTTTATATCGAATAGGCTGTGCCCATTGTTCTGCCGGCAATTCAGCAAGAAATTGGTCAAAACCTGTGCCTACAGGTAATCGACGTATATCGCTTTCTATTTGCCATTCTAATGTTGAAGTATTTAATTCTACTGTTTTGACAGGAAAAAGAAAATGTGAAGAACTAATTAATAGATTGGCAACTGAATTAATTTGTATTTAAATTAAAAATTAATTTAAATATTTACTTGCAATTAAAATACAACCACCGCCAATCCAGCGAGCTCTATTTCCCTAATTGTTATTGTAAAAATATTTTTGAATTAATTTTAAAAAAATTTTAGGCTTAAGGAAAACAAAGTAGGTAATTCAGAGAAGATTGTGCCAATGGGTCCGGGAAAATTTTTTGTTATTATCAGAATCCGAACCAAACGTTTTTATCAGAGCCCGGACTATTCCAGATAGCAGGATTGGTAACCCTAAACAGAACAAACCAATTCTAAAAGGAAGAACCCAGAAAAATATGAAATAAACAGTCGAACTTAAAAATAAGGTATATCCAATACTAGAACACTTAATAAAATACGAGTGAGAGGGTATAACTGCTTGTGATACTTGTGATACCCTCTATTTAGGATAGAATTCATTATAAGATACGTATAATTTTTTAGTCACAAGAGTATCTAAGTTGAGAATTCATTATAATTTTTTATTAGGATACTGGGGTTTTAGAATAATATTTGTATTTATTTTTTTATAAATAAACGCCTACTTTACTCCCCAAATAAGCAACAAACACAACACTAAAAATTTGGTAAAAATTGAAAATTAGAAAATTTAAACAAACGAGGGAATATAACCAAAATCCCCAGCAGATACCATCATTCCAGAAATTTTGCTTGGAATTTGAAATTGTTTTTCTATTGAGACAATGGCACTTAAAAGGATTTTAATTTAGAGTCGCTAATAGAGAAAGTTCAAAAGAAAATCACCTAGTCATAAAAAACCCTCCAATAGATTCAAGAAAATAAACACTTAAAAAAAGCACAAAAAAGCAGCAAACAGTCGAATCAAAATTTTTAAATCGGCGATTGATTGCCATTTTTAATTAATTTTAAATTATTAATTAAATTAGAAAATTTATTAAATTAATTTTTTGCATTAAATTTTTTGTTTGTTTAAGAGGAGAAAATTGAAAATACTAAATTAATAAAATATTTTTTTGTTTTAGAAAAGAAAAAACCCCAAATTTGCAAAAAATATACTAAACTAAACATTAAAAATCGAAAGAAAAAAAATACTAAAAAATATTCTACTTTTTCTAAACCTAACACGAAAATTTACTTTCTAATTATTTTTGGAGGCTCAACATTTCGCAATATTAACCATAACTTTTTCTTGCATAAATATAGAGAAGGGTATTTTTAATTTTAGAAAATAAGCATGAAGATAAGCTTATTTTAAAATAAAAAATCAGAACGAATCTTTTTAAGTTCAATTTCCTTAATTTTTAAGCCAAAACTTTACTTTATTAGCTTGTTTTTTGTAAAATTAGATCCTTGTATGTATCCCTTCTATCAAAGTTTTATGTTTAAATTAATGGAGACTAGTAGATATCCTCAAAAGTAGGGTTTTCAAAGGTTATGCCACATTTTTTGTTTTATATCTAAGATTATATGTATTTCTATACGATTTATTTCAAAACACCTAGAGAATTATTTCAAATTGTGTTTATCTTAAAATTAAATTACCTACATACTATATTTTAATAAAAATTATTTTTTTAATATTTAAAAACGACAAAATATATTTTTTAGTTAATCGAATTATTGGCAAATTAAGAAAATTGCTGATAAGACAATTAGAGGACATCTTATGTTTTTATAAAAAAATTATGACAAATAAATGATAAAAAGAATAGAAAAGTGAGCAAAAATTAAGAGGAAAAGAAAATACTTAAGACAGTAAAATAATTTAATTAAATTATTTTTTAAGAAGATTAAGAAAAAACTGAAAATCAGACAATTTAGATTATTAATTTAAAAAATAATTTTTTAAAAGATTTATAATTTTTGATGGCTAAAAATATTGTTAAAGGATTGTAATGAAGCCAAAGCCTTCTCTTCTTTGATTGAATATTTGCTTGATTAAATTTGTGATATTTTAAAAAACATCAATATGTGTAGTCTCCAAGTTTTTTAGTTCAAAAGAAATTACAGAAAACGAAGAAGATTTTCCATTCTCTCTACACAAATCCGGGTAGACTCTTACAGAGTCGACAATTATCTTTACTGGAGTAATAACAGGCCGGATTAAGCCCAAAAATCTGCTCGGGTCGGGTCCGTAATGAGGAAAAAACAAAATCCGCTTTTCGGATCCGTGAATATATTCAAAACATTTTATTTTGCATTATTTAGTTAAAAAACAAAGAATTTCTGTCTATATTTTGTCTCGGTTAATCATTTATCTTTAAATAAAAGTCATAAAAATTGTTGCCACTTAAATGGAGGCAAAACATGTGATTTAATTTTAATAAAAAATTTTTTTAATAAAAAAAGATAAAATTTTACTTTAAAATCAGTTTTACTATGTATGTAAATAAAAAAAGTGGGAAATTTACAAAATTAGTCAAAAATATAAATACATAAATTTAAATAATGCTTACAAAAAATAAACGAAATTAACATAAATGCTCTAATAAAAGTGCTCATTTTTATATTTTTTAATGGTCTTATTGGGTGGACTTCTATTTGAAAATTTACGGTAAATGACTAGATTTGAAGGAAAAAATTTTTCGCGTCTTTTAAAAAAGGATGATTTAAAAAAATCAAAATTGTAACTAACGGACCTGGTCACGGATACTGATCTAAGTATACGTATCCACATATTTACGGCGGATACAGACGGATACAGGTGGATATCTGCAAGCATTTTGATATTATCTGTATCCGTATCCATGACCAGGTCTGGTTAATAAAATAAATGCTTAGTTTAAATAAAACAATAATTGTTTAACAAAGTGTTTCAAAAATTTTTCAGTGTTCGAAAATGGTAAAGAAATAATTTTAAAAATCATTAATATACATATGTATACCAAAATAGAGTAAGCGAAATATAGCATCTTGTCAGGATTTTTAGTTTAATGTGTTCAGCTGTCATAGTCTCCCTTGCAGTAAAGAACAGTCAAGCTTATAAGTAAAATCCGTAATTTTAAATGAAATTCAAGTAAATCCTTTTATTATTTATAAATTGAGTCCGGGATTTTATAAGGGGAAAATATGCATTATAGTGTGATATATGCAAAAACACACAGAATACATTAAAAAGAAACTTAATTTTCAGAAAAAATAAATAATCCAAATCTAATTTTGAGCTTCTAAGGATAAACTAGAAAGCAAGTTATGAACGAGGAATCCTTTCAAATTTTGTCCAAGTTTCAGTCCTTGTATTCCTAATGGAAATAGGAACGAAATGAGATCTCCTTTGTCGAAAACTGTATTCGGAATATCAAACTCGAATTTCTATCCATCTGCTAGTCCGGTCTACAATTGATAGTCTCAACTCTTTCTCTCCAAAAATTTCAATTTCGCTTTACTCTATTTAAACAGGGAATGTATGTGATAATAAAATAAATTAATCAAGTTTAAATAAAATAACCGGGCATCTTTCTCAAATTTTATATCAAAAAGTATCTCATTTTCACACTCTTAACCTCTCCCATTGCTTCGCTTTTTACGTGCCAAAATTCCTTGTTGAAATACATTTGTTTGTGGTATATTTTGTTGTGCTAATTTTGTACAAATTTCAGGAATTCCCCCATTTAGTGCTTGTTGTTGCAATAGATTAGCTAGACCATTATTCTGAACCGGTTGGAATTTTTGAGGGTTTGAATTTATTTCGTTTGTGATGTTTTGGAACCACGTTGCAAAATCACTTAAAGATTAATTCTTTAGGATTTTGTTTTGTAAATTTAATTTTTGGAAATTACATCACTAATTTTAAAGATTGCACCCCTTTATCTCACTCATGGGTACTTTTCTTTAGAAGAAAAATCTCTAAGAAGAGAAATTTACAAAAAAAATTTCGAGCTGACAATAAGTGAGTGAAAAGATGTCAAAGATCGAGTCGAGCTTCTAAGGAGATCGAGCTTCTAAGGATAAACTAGAAAGCAAGTTATGAACGAGGAATCCTTTCAAATTTTGTCCAAGTTTCAGTCCTTGTATTCCTAATGGAAATAGGCTATATCATGTCTCAATAAAAACCTTGTTCCAGGCGATGGACGGAAACAAACAGTTGGCTGAACAGGAGGTTGTTGTGGCTGTTGTTGTTGTTGATCATCAGAACGTCGTCCTCTTCCAAGAGAAAGCTCTCTTTGATCATTATAATTGTTAGACCTACTTCCACTCACAATCATAGGTAATTGACTTCTCTCTTCAACCGGGAAACTTGTTTGGCCTGGCACACGTTTCCCATTACTATTTCCAAATCCGCCAAGATTGTTAGAATACAAATTGTTTGTTGGTGGATTATATTGTGGAGGAATGTTTTGATTCGGTTGGGAATAATATTGAGAATAAGGAGAATATTGTTGTTGTTGCTCTCTTTGTAAAGTTATTCCAAACCCGAAAGGGTCGGCATCAATATCATTCAAAGAATTACTAGCCCCAAAACCGGAGGGAGGAGAATAAGGCTGTTGTTGTGGTGGCTGTTGATTTGCAGATGGATATTGAGGGTAAATAGGAGGGGGATTTGTTGGTAAAGGCACATTTGTTTGTTGTGGATAGACTGGATTGGGTATTGGATTGACATATGGAGGATTAATCGGATTCACATTTGAAGGGTTAATATTTGTTTGTTGTGTTTGGCCAGGCAGACCATTTGGATAGACTGTTGAAGAGTAGGGGATGTTACTATTTGGGTTGACATTTGCTTGTCCTCCTGGTTGACCTGGCTGTCCTATGCCTGGTTGTCCAGTACCTTGGCCGCTTGGTTGATTTATAGGCGTATTTTTGTCAGTTTCTGGGGCACTGTTAGTCTTTTTTCTGTCTTTATTTCCTTGGTCAATGCCTCCTTTAATTTTTAGAATTTTATGTATTAAATTACATCAAAATCCTAACCTTTATCATCTTTTTTGTTTGCATCTTTGGAGTCCTTTCCTGGCAAACCTGGCTTTCCCGGTTTGTTTTTATCTTTTCCCTGTTGAGCCCCATCTTCGTTATTCTCTTCATCCTCGCCTGAAGGTTTTTCAGCATCACCATCTGTTCAGTTAATAAGAAATTAAATAGTTTAATTTTAGAGTAAATCAAAAAATTATTTGTTCCCCCCTCCCTTCTCAATTCTATCCCAAATTTTATTCTATACAATCAAACCTGATTTTTCAGTTTGTTCCTCATCCTCCTTTCCTGCTTCGCCTACGCCTGGCCCATCTTGATTTTCTCCATCCCCTTCCGCTTCCTTTTCTTCAGTTGCCGCTCCATCTTCATTTTCCTGTCCGTCTCCAGCTTCACCTGCTTGCCCATCACCTCCATCATTCCCTTCTCCATTTTCTTCATCATCGTCGTCCGCTTTTAATCCTAAAACATAAAAATGCGAGATCCGAGTAACCAAACATTATATATCGAGAAAATCTATTCCGTAAATTATGTTTAGATGTACAACGTGTCGGACTTCACTATAGGATAACTTAGGGCTTGAAATAGTATATAATGAGGTGCATCTTAAAAATAGTGTAAGATGCACATACACCTTCTGGCCAAAAATTTTTCAAGCCCTAACTTAAAGAATTTATACTAAATTACGGTATAATATTGTTATCTCATACAGAGATCCTCCTAAAATTATTTCAATGATTTCCAAACATAATCCAACTCAATAAAAGGATTATTTCACTTATAAACGGTAAAATAAAAACAAAAATAGAATTACTATCAATCAAAACAGCAAAAAGCAAAATGGCCAAAAGTATTCGGTAATTCCTCAACATCTCTCTAACAATATTTCATAATTTATATTTTAAAAGCTGGGCAAATTTAAAAAAATTTTTTAATAAAATAAATGTCAAATGAGTGGATTTTTATAAAAATGATTGACTTTTTGTGGGGAGAGAGAGAAGAAGCTATATTCAAAATCAATTAAAAAGCCTTGTCAATATTCTCAATTTTCTTGCCTTTCCCGATTTCCTTTATTCGGGAATATATTTCTTTATATATTTGCACTTTCTCATATGCTTTATATCTTCTTTATCCATCGATTATTAGCTATTGTATAGACAAAAAAGGAAAAAATGTTTTGTTGGCCAACTCCACAAACATCAACAATTATATACTCGATTATTCACAGACTTGGCCATCTCACAATCCCTAAACTTTTTAATGGCATTTCAAAGAGAGGTTATTAAATCCTCAGAGAGTTTTTTAAGAGTCCTAAAATGTTTAAGTACTCCTCCAAGTTTTTAAATTTAAATATCTATGATTGTAGTTTTCGAAGCATACCGTATATCCTTTAATAACTACCCTGGGTATTGTTTCGACCTTCCGCTGGAGGGAGTAATTAATCGAGGAAGGGTAATTATACGAAGTTTGAAATTTGAACGTGTTTTAGGGCATGTTTGGGGGTAATTATTGTTTCAATCTATCGTTAGATGGGGTTATCAATGGAAGTGGGGTAATTATTCGAGGGAGGGCAATTAATACAGGTTATACGTTAATTATTAATTTCTGTTGATGAGTAATACATGGAAATTAATTATATTTTTCAAAGTTATATAGACAGCGAGTGTGTGTGGGCAATTAATAAAGCAGAATTCACACCTGTTGGAGGTGATAACTCACAATTTAAATTTAAAATAAACCAAAAAATTAGAAAATAAAACAAAAAGTCTAAAAAGAGAGGAATGAATAAAAGTTTATGGAATTTTAAGTTATGATCGATTTTGAATAAAATATTTAGTAGCCTTTCCATTTAAATATTAGAATCGAATAAACAATACCGTACAGATTAAATAGATTGCTTTTCATTCTTTCGCTTCCTTAAAAATATAGATTCACCGACTTTTTTATTTACTATGTCCTTTTTACGAAATTTATTCCAGGTTGCTTTTCATTCTTTCGCCGATCTATAAAGATTGACACCTGTAAGTTTGAAAAAAAAATCGGAAATGCTGTATTAAAGAAGTTTCTCGAATGTTTTTAAACAATTTTGAAATAAAAAAAATTTCTTGAAACTTCATTCCCTGTTATCTTAACCGTCGTCTTCTTGGTAGAACGAACTTTCGAACAATAAAAAACCCCCCAATTGATTTGAAATTGATAAAATATTTTCGTAATGTTAGCTGAGAAAAACGTCAACTTTTTGAGAAAGCTGCAAGGCCTCGAAATTAATCAGACAATAATGTTATAAAATAAACAATTATGAATTAGACAAATTATTTCCCATCATAACAATTTTAAAATCAAAATGTTTTTTAGTGAGATAAATTGAGATTATACATATGTATGTATATCAAAGGTATCAAGAATTCGATTAAAATAATTAGAAGTTGAGCTGTGCAGTCTTAACAAAAAAAGAGTAATCGAGCCTTTCAAATAGAAGCTATAGGTAAAATGTTTTGAAACCTCTTAATATTTGCTTTGTCGATAAAATAGGATTTATTGTCTTTGATTGAAAAGACCCCACAAAAATGTCTCCTGCCTAAAGATGTGATGCATTTCTTGTTAAGTATTTTAAAATCTCACATACAAATACACTCGAATATATTTTAAATTTGGCTGACTATCGATGGGGTTGCCCAACCCATTTAATATACTAATTATAAGGTACGATTGTCGGCTCCAAGTGTGCATCTACAAGGGAGGTCAGACTGTAGTAATTTAAATACCCCAGCGAGAAAACAACAGAATTTTTAAAAATCAGATTTTTTCAGAATCAGAATTTTAAATCAGTAATTTTTTTAAATCAGGATATCCTAAAATCAGAATTTTTAATTTTTAACTTTTAATTTTTTTAACTTTTCAATATTTCCTCAACTCATTAACGTAAAAATATGTATGCCTGATTGTACTACGTACATATAAAAAATATTGATGATATTAACTTCGAGTTCCTTTTGTCGTTTACCTTTTTACACATTCCCATTTTTGTTTTTTTAAAAATATTTCTTTTGACATTTCCAAAATGACTGAAAACTAAAAATATTGGAAGAATGATGAGAGTGCACGACGAGTTAACGGGAAATCTAATCGTCTCGCAAGACTCCAAGACAAAAGACCGTTGCATAAAAAGACCGAAGGGACAAAAAAGGGTTAAAAGACCAGTTCCGGTCTCTTTTTTTGCCCGTTATGGTCTTTTATTGCACCGGTCTTTTGTTCCGACACGAAAAATTAAATAGAAATTCCTCAATACACTCTCTCGCTTCTTGCTTCTTCATTTTCCCGCCTTTTTTCCCAAAATTTATTTTTAATTTTTATGAAATTTAAAAATAAGACTGAGGAGAGTGTCTAAAAAAGTATTGGATTTTTCATAAAAAAATTGTGATATGTATTAGTGTTATACAAAAAAACGCCTGTTCGGTATTTGTCTCTCTTATGCTTATATGTTAAGCTATGTATGAATTTTACTAAAATTTTCACTTCATTGATTCATTTCTAACTTTTTATGCCATTTTTTTATAATCGAATTAGAATTTTTTAAAATCAATTTTTTAGAGTCAAAATTGTTTACAAAATTTTAAATAATCAAAATTTATCATTAAAAATCAAAATGTTGTTTTTTGTTTTAGCTATTCTTGCTTTGTTTGTAATGTAGGCATTTTTTTATGTTAACTAAATAAATTTTATATTACTTCAGAATCTTCCTTGGGTGCGTTATCTACAATTTGTTTAAGAAATGGCGAGCTCAATATGGAAGGATGTTGGCTATACCTGTGCTTGTAGTAACAAAAAACGATTTTGTTGATGCTGGAGATGAAATTGAAAAAATTGGTAGAGGTTTTTTTAAATATAATTAGGAATTTTTTAAATATTCTTTAATATACACTCTAAATATCGAGTCATTTTCTAAAACGGTCCGAACCGAATAACAGCTCTCATAAACCTGAACTGACTCGAACCATTAAATGGTCAAAAATGTAACTAAAATGGATCCTATAATTAAAATAAAAACCCTAAATATATTAATTAAAACAAAATTTTGATAGGATTGTGCCTTGGTGTTATGAATGTGAATTCAATGGATAAAATTGATGAACTCACTGAATTGGTTAATGAATTTGTGGCTAGTAAAAATATTTTGTACAACCCGGATGAAAGCAGCAGATGTTTTTGTGAGCTTATTCAAAAAATATCTAAAATTATTTCAATGTTTTTTAGGCATGAAAAAGTTCAAGAATGGAAATGTTCAAATTTATCTGAATCGTTTTGGACATGTAGGAGATGTTCTTGGATCTGGCAAAGTAAGAAAAATATCTTTAAAAATTTTAATAAATAAAATTTTAGGGGAAAAATTATATTCTTTTGGTGGATGACCAGTTTCCGACGGCTGTTGAACTGGATAATTTTGGTATTTATTATCTTTAATTGAATTTTCAATTTTATAAAAATTAAAGGATTCGATGTGACGCAAAGTTCTATTGAAGAGGATTCTTTTTTTAATCAACCTGGCAATATCGAAGCTACTGCTGCATTTGATCGTTAGTTTTTATTTAATTTTTGAAAATATTTTTTTAAATTTAGCAAACAAAAATACCGAGAGGATTTATTCAACAACTCCAATTGGTGTTTTTCCTTTCGTGACTACCTTCAAGCCGGAAGATCCAACTCTTTCTGCAAGTATGTTTTTTAAATAATTTTAGATTTAATCTAAATCAATTTTTAGGAGGAGCTTTCTCTTATGCAGAAATTACTGAACAGCCTTCTGCAAAGTTTTCGGTTCTTATTACGGGTAACTGCTCGTTGGTGTTTATTGAATCTGTTTTAAATGCTCATACTTATTTGTGTACACACGACAAATGGTTTTTAATGAGAAAATTTAAGGCACACTTCTTGCCGGTTTTTTCGTTTAAATTAAAATTTTTACTTTTTATAATTTAGGCTGCAACAAAGAAGGATGGTCCTAGCGCAGGAGGCGCTATTGCTATGGCTTTCATGAGCGTTCGTTTAAATAAACCGGCTAAGCAAGGTAAATATACAAAGAAAATTTAAAAAATTTTTTAACAAATTCAGATATTATTGTTTTTGGAGAATTAACACAGGTCAGTCCTTAAAATGAAGAATCAAAAATTTCAATTAATTTTCAGAAAGGCGTGCTTGTACCTGTCGGGGGAATGCGCGAGAAGCTCATGGCTGCCAGAAGAAATGGAATCAAAATTATAATTTTCCCCAGTATGATGAAAGCAGAATGGGAAGCTTTGTCACCCGAAGAAAAGGAAGGATTTGAAGTGCATTTTTGTTATGAACTCAAGGATGCAATTAATATTGTTTTTCCAAAAGGTAAAATTTAAAGCTTGAAATTTTTTAAATAAAATTTATTTTTAGATGAAGTCGAAGAGAGGGAGCGTCAAGAATTTGTTGGTAATGAAACTTGAAAGAAATAGTGAGAAAGAAGTTAATTATTTGTTTAGAAAAATTATAATTTACTGTGTTGATCTCTTTAGAGGAAATAATACCTCAATTTATGTTAAATATCATGGTTTTAATTATTGATTTTTTTTTCTCTTATTTTCTTTTGAAATAAATTTTTAGATATTTGAATGCTTTTTACGTTTTATGAATTAAGTTATTTGAATGCTTTATTTTTATTAATTGTTTAATTAAAATAATTTTTAATTTTGGATGGACGTATGTTACAATTTTTGCTTCTACTGGCAGCTGTGCTTTGTTCAGTTGCAGTATCTGATAGAGGAATTACTTTAGAGGTTGGGAATTTTTGGATACGTTAATTATCTGTTTGACGGGTATTTTTTGTTGTGGGCTGAAATTTTTCTTAATTTGGGGCTTGGTTCACTTTTCCATTATTAATAGTTTTCTCGAAAAAATAACCAGAGAAAAGTACAAGGCAAATAGACAAGCAATGCGCCACTTATATTCAGCCATTTAAGTCTAACAATAAGCGAATCGTTTTGTTTTCAAGCTCAATAAAATTTTTTTAGGAAAAAGTTCGTAATTTGCAAGATTCAATAATGAAACGGCCTGTTATGAGCTTAAATTTGGAAATGTGGAAAACTTATATTCAGTCCTCTCCACGTAATTATTCAATGATTGTTATGCTTACTGTTTTTTCTCCCAATATGAAATGCCCTATTTGCAAGTTTGTTTTTTCTTATTTTTATGAATATTTTTTAAAATTATTTTTTTAGACCGGCTTATGAAGATTACGGCAAATTCGTATCGATACACCTTTTTGAACAATAAAGCCTTATATTTTGGAATTGTTGATTATGAAAATGCTCCACAAATTTTTAAATTGGTATATTTTATATAATTTTTTATTTCTATATTTTTTTAAAGTTAAATTTAAACACGGCACCAGCAGTCTTTCATTTTCCTGCAAAAGGTGCAAGACGTCCACAGGTTGAAAATTATTTTTAATTATAAGGTTATAAATCCAAATTAAAATAAGAAAAAATCAAAAAAATTTCTTTCGATTTTTTAACATTTTTACTTAATTTTATGGGAAACATTTGTTTTTTCTTCTACTTTCGATCTTTAAAACCTAAAATTAAATATTTTCTTGTTAAATAATTCATTTAAAGGATTCTATGGATTTTCAACGTATGGGTATTGATGCTGAAGCAATGGTTAAATTTGTCCAAGATCGAACTGATATTCACGTTTTTTTATAAATTTTATTTCCCTAATTTTATTAATTTTTAGATTCGAATTCTCCGTCCACCAAGCTATGCCGCTCATGTCGTTATTCTTCTTTTGGTTATGCAGTTCTTGGTCTTTTGTATATGCGTCGAAATAATTTGGAATTTCTTTTTAATCGAACTTTTTGGGCTTGTGTTTGTCTTGTAGGGAATTCTTTTTTAATTTTATTCTAAAATTTATTTTAAAGGCAATCGTCTTTGCCTTCATGTCCGGACAAATGTGGAATCATATAAGAGGCCCTCCTTTCATGATGACACATCCTCATGGACGCGAAACTTCTTTCATTCCTGGAAGCACTCAAACCAACTTATTGTTGAAACCTACATTGATTTTGGACTTTATTTGGCTATTACTGCGGGTGTTATAGTTTTGAATGATGCTGCTTTTTTGCTTGTTGTTTTTTTCATCAACTTATGGCTGTTGATGAAAAAGTATTTTTTTAAATTTTTAGATTTTCAAGTTTCTTTTTAGTCGACTGGTTAAATGGACTTTATTAGAAGGAGTTCACTTTAATTTAAAATAATTTTCGAAAATTCTTTTTAGAAATTATTCAAGATCCATTCGATTATTTTTGCAATGTAACTTCCTTTGAAAAGTTTGACACAAAAAGAATTTTCTCTGTCTCGCTTATGCTCGTTGGATTCTTTTGTTGATTTTTTGAATTTGTTTGTTTACTTTTTGAATTTTATCAGGTTTAAAATTTTATTTAAGGTAAGAAAAACTTGGCAAAGACTTAAAGACAATCCTGAACCCGTTGATAAGGAAAATAAATACTTTTTACCAAGTGAGCAAGATATTAATGGATTTGCCTGTGCCTTGGGATTTGATATTCCAAAAGAAGTAAAAAATTTATATTTTTTAAGAAAATTAAAAAAAATTTTTTTACAAATTTTAGAATTTTTCACTTTGGCAATCTGGTGACATTTATTTATGCAATTTGCCCTTGTTAGGCCCAAACATAAAATTCCTGTTAATATTTTGGTTGAATTACTTTCTATGGGAATTTGTCGAGTTTTAAAGATTTATCTCGACAAAGAACTTTGACAATCTGAAGAATTGCGTTTATAATTAGTTAAAGTAATTTTTTTATTTTCTAAGAACTCTTCTCATTTAAGAGTTTTCAATCTCATCTTTCCTCTTTAAACGGTTTGAATTCAAAAATTAAATTTATTCAAAATTAAATTTATTGGCTCTTTTTATTTTCTTTGTTCTCATTGTTTTGGTTTTGCTGATACTTTTGTTAATCATGGAAAATTATCTGAAGATCAAACAATTAGGTTTTAATAAATTTTTTATTTTTAAATTTCCTATAGAAATTTGGCTCAATCTTCTACTATTGACATGACACCAACAGTTCCCTCCGATTTGCAATTACAAGGTTTTTTGAAATTTTGAATGAAAAAATTTATTTTTAGAATTTACAAAATCTGAAAATGCTCTTTGGAATGTCGTTACCTCTTTTGATATTAACGTTCTTCGTAACTCGTTTGCACAACTTGACAATTCAATTGGTATTGAGAATAAAAGGGTATTTTATTTGTTTGTAGTAAAATTCTATACGATGGAGGGAGGAAGGGGAATTTTAAAATCTTTTTTCGATTACCTTCATTATCACGTTTTTATAGTTAAAGCTTTATTTAAATTGAAAACCTCCATACATTCAAAATTTTAGATGGTCTTCTCTCCAGTTTCTGCTGATCCAATTCTAAATTCATAAATGCGTCTGGCGATCGTTTTTTTATTCGAAGTCAAATAATGCTATGGAAATTGGAACAACTTGCTCTTCAAGGGGTTATTTTAATTTTTATTCTTTAAAAATCATTTTAGAATATGAAAAAATGGACAGAATTTGTAAATAAATTTAGTGAAGATTGTAAAGTTATAGAAGAAAATAAAGAATTACAAATGCTTCTTTTGTGTGATTCAATGAGGATTGGGGTTTTTTTTTAATATTTTTTGTTTAAAAATGTTTTTTAAAGTTAACAAATTGGAATACAGATTTTTGTCGTCCAAGTTTTCCCCATGAATTTGTTAAAAATGCAGCAGAATTGAAACAACAACTAAATGGTGTTTTGACTAGAGCAATACAAGACAACAAGAGTACTTTTCAGATTTTTAGTAAAGAGGTTATTTTTTAATGATTATTCAAAAAATAGTGAAAATGTTGTTTATGACAAGAATCTATTTTAAAAATTTGTCAGCGAAATTTATATCTTTTTTCAATTACTGGTTTTATTTCACAACAACTTAACTGATTCATTCAAATTTTCAATTTTAACAAGGACAGATAATTTTGAATTGTAAAATTATTCCAAATAAATGGTCTTTCCATTCTCTCCCCAAATAAACTGAACTTACCCTGCCATTAAAAAATTTTTTCAGTTAACATGTTATTTACTAAACAATCGAGAATGATCATTTACTAGTCAACGTATCAAAAATCAACCACTTTTAACCACTCCTTTTACAAATATTGCTGTTATTTTGCTGTTTTTTTACAAATATTTAAAACAGCTAGAGAAGTTATTTGGAAGGTTTTAACTCCAACATTTGATGCTGTTAAATTTTGGTAAGATTTTTAGCTTCTGGGGTGGAGAGAGGGAATTTTTACGTATAAATGGGTATGACTATGAAGGACTTCCCCATCGTTTCCCACGCTAGGACCGGATTTATAGTCTGGAGTATGATGGTCTGTTCTGGACCGAACCGAAGACCGATGATTTTTCGGTTCGGTTATTCGAAGGTTTTCCAAGAACCGACAACGCTAGTCTGGAGAACTAAATATCTTTTCTATTCTCTTCCATCATTCTTAGATCCATCATTCTTTCATCATTCTTCATACACCTATGAATTATCTGAATGGATAGAAGAAATACTTTACAATGAATTTGATACAATTTCTGAAGATAATACACTTGACTCTTCAGCTGATTTATTAATTAAAATGAGTAATTGGTTATTAGGAAGAGGAAAGACGAGTGTGGAAGAAGCAAAAACAAAATTTAGAGAAAATGTGGAAAAACTGTTGGCAATTAATTCGAAAAAGGTTTTTAATTATTTTTTTTAAAGTTTTGTAGTTGGAAAGAGAAAACTTCAAATAAATTCGGATAGTTTCCAGAAGTTTCTTCTAAATCATATTTTGACATGTCTCAAGACGACACGGGTTGAGAAAAAAGTCGGATCGGGTTCTGGAAAATTTCTTGAATCTGGTTTCGGATAGAAAAAATCCGGGTAATACGTGTAAATTTTGAAGATTTTCTTCACAGGAATTTTTTTTTGATTCTCTCCAAAAATTTTTGACAACCTAAAAATTTTTCTTCTCCAGTTTTTCTATATTTTTAAAGTCGAAAAAATTTCTTTTTATATTTATAGGATGTAGTAAAAATGTTGAACCGTCAGATTCAAGTGAAAAAGAGGATATAGTGAAGACCAAGAAGATTAGAAAAAATAAATAAAATATAATTTATTTCTCATAATTATTTGTTGAATAAAAAATTATAAAATTCTCAAAAATATGTCAAACTTAACAAAAATGTCCTCTCTTAAGAACAAGCATCTTGTTGAATAAAAACTTTTTGTAAAGAACTTGTTTTGATGGAAAAAACATTGTTTTGATGGAAAACGGCTTTTACAACGAGAAAATTTCAAATCAACTGGAAAAAAGGAGAAAATTTTTTAAATCATCCTTTTTCTGGAGGAGATCTAGAGGAGATATTTTAAAATTCCTCGTTCCAAAAATTAAGTAAGAGTTAATGCTTGTAGTAAAAAGTCGAAAATAGTGAATACCGTTACTGACTACTTTAATTTAGAGACCGATCCGAGATATGATCTCGGTTATCAAGACCAATATTTTTCCAGATATCTCATAGTCAGGTTTTGCTAAAATTAACTAGGTAGTTGTTGTTGTCAGTATTTTATCTGCGAAAATAAGCGGAGGCTTTAGTTTATTTAGTACTTCTTGTTTTTGTTTTGAATTAAATCGGGAAGATAAAAAATAGTGATCAACATCTTATATGTATTTAAATCTGCCACATTTTAATCATTATATTAACGAATATATACATATGTAGATCTATATTTAATTGGTTAATACTAAGAAAACAAAATAAACTTTTATTATAAATATGTATGTATTGTCTAACAAATAAGGGTATTTATTTTTTCGTAATAATAAATAAAGAAAATTTAATTATTCAAAGTATGGATATAATAATTTATTATAACTATGGATATAATAAATTTAAAGACCATGGCGTCATTTTACCTTCGATACCCCCAAAAAGAGTCATTCAATTAGAAAGACCATTTAGACCAAATACATATTCATTTTTATAATTTCAACTTTTTTCCCCATTAAATTTAGAAAAAATTATTCAAAAAATTCTCAAAAGATTGAATAGATTTATTGGTACTTTCTTGTTATTGGTACTTTCTTGCCCACATTTTTATTTTCATTTTCCCCCTTCTATTTTTTCTTAATAGTCCAAAGATAGGCTATTCGTCCAACATCTATACAAGGTGTTTCTGATTTAATTCAAATGGTCGAATTACACGAAGCTGCTTTTCTCAGAAAATTTCAAATTCGACACAGGCAAAATATTTATTTTGTAAAAATTATTTTAAATATTATTCTACATTATTTTTCAGACATTTATTGGAAAGCGTATTTTAGTTTCATTAAATAATAATATATAAGATATTCAATTATATAGCGATGATAAAAATCAAAGAAAAGAATTAATTCGTTCATATCGTCAACGACTTCCACACGAATTATTACCACATACATATGCATTTGGGAGCTGAAATTTTACGTTTTGTTAAAAAAAGGAAAAAATAAATCAAAATTTTGAATAAAAATTAAATTTAAATTATTTTTATAAAATAGTCAGGAAAATCAGAATTATTTAAACAACTTTTAAATTTCCTTAGTGCTGATTTTGCTAATTAAAATTTTGAATTAAAAGTAAATTCTGCACAAATAATTATTAAGGTGGAATTTTTAAATAAAAAAATAATTAAATTAATTTTTAAATTATTATACATATTAGCCTTTGCAAATGCAAAAACTTCTCGTAATATAAATGCTGATAGACACGAAAAATATTTTTAATTAAATTATAAATTAAATAATGAAATATCTAAAGTTTATTTAAATAATTTGTTTATTTAAAATTAATAAATAAAGATCGTAATTTCATCAGCAAAAATTGAATTATTTTTTTTTGAAAAATATAGAGTTGTGGAAGCTTTTATTGAACAATCTAGAGAATCATAAAATAATATGTATTTATGGAAATTTAAAGAAATTTCCATATTTTTTATTGTCTTCTTGCCGGATTTAGTCCTCAACAAAAACTTGATTTTTAATTGACAAATGGAAGTAATATCTATGTACTTATGGACTTTTAGCACAAGTAAATTAAAAATTAAAATTTCAAAAACTTGAAGTGACATTTTAAATAAATTTTCTTTTTTTGTCCTTTTAAATAAATAATTTAGAAAATTAAAAAGTATCGTCGAAATTCTCGTGATCATTTTATTAATGGGGAAAATACTTCTTGGACGTTTGAAGGTGAAAGAACACGTCCAACATCTGAAATGTAAAGTTGTTGGGGCATTTAAAATTTTAATATGAAAGAAATTGAAAATATTTGGAGACTTTTAGCTGCAATTTTGCATTAGGGAATTTACGTTATACTACGATTATTATTTAATTTAAATAATTTATTAGAATTAAAAATAAGTTTTACAATAAAATAAAATTTTACAAGATTAATTTAATAAATTTTATTTCCATATAAAAATTATTTTTAATTCTAAAAAATTATTTAAATAAAATATTAATAATTATAGTAATTTTAAAATAAAAATAATACAATTTAGATTTTTATAAAATTTATTTTTAATTCTAAAAAATTATTTAAATAAAATCATAATAACAATTATAAGATAAGTTTAATAAATTTTATTTTCTTATAAAAAAGTTTTCTCTTATAATTATCATTATTATTATTTTATTTAAATAATCTACTAGAATTAAAAATAAATTTTACAATAAAATAAAATTTTACAAGATTAATTTAATAAATTTTATTTCCATATAAAAATTATTTTTAATTCTAAAAAATTATTTACATAAATAAATAAGACAAATATGGAACCCTAAACAAAAAGATTTAATTAAGACTATAGAAAAGATTCAAAAATTCTATAACCTTAAAAAATGTAGAAACAAAAAACACAAATATCGAGACAGACTGAAATTATTCCAATTAGATCCCCTTTTTGTAACAAGATTTTACATAGATTTAGTTACGTTCTCTATAATATAATTTAGTCTAACTGTTACAACCGGAGGTGCCCGAGATTTAAGTAATGTAGACGTGCACAAGATTAACATTTTATCCGGTGTTGAAATATTCAATGTGTAGGCGAAGGTGGATAGGCTGAAACAGATGACGATTATTAGTGACCAGCCTCGCTAGTATGATCCAACTAGTCTGACGCTTTCACTGGCTTTTATACTATAGTGACACCATTACACAACCCCCTTGAAAAAAGGTTCGGCTTTCACGTAAAGCTGAAGCTTTACAATTGTGTCATAATTTCACTATAGTCTTTTAGACTATTAATACAATCTTTAAAGCCAGAGCGTCTGTCTCACTTACAAACATTCATTTTTCTTAACAAAATACAAAGATGTTGGATGACAAAAAGGCAAAGGGACAAAACAACAAATTAAATTTACATTAAGAATTTAAAGAAAAATAAAATTTTAATAATAAATATGAAAATATTTTTATATAAATTTGAATAATAAGAATAAATTAAATAAAAAAAATTAAAATAAATAAAAAAAATTGACGATTTGTCTTATTTATTTATGTAAATAATTTTTTAGAATTAATAATAATTTTTATATGGAAATAAAATTTATTAAATTAATCTTGTAAAATTTTATTTTATTGTAAAACTTATTTTTAATTCTAATAAATTATTTAAATTAAATAATAATAATGATAATTATAGGTGAGAAGATATAGAAAAAGTTTGCAAAAGTTTAGCCACGGGCAGGATTCGAACCTGTGACCACCTGCTAGTTGTTGCTAGGCGTTTTCGCTCACTATATGCAGGA